AACTCATAAATTAAACTATAACTCATAATTTAAACTATAACTCATAATTTAAACTTTATAACTCATAAATTAAACTATAACTCATAATTTAAACTTTATAACTCATAAACTAAACTATAACTCACAATTTAAACTTTATAACTCATAAATTTAATTTTATAATTTATATTTAAATATTTTAAAATCACATTATGTTCCTTTATTTACACGTTTTGACGGAAATGACCACAATCCTCAGCTCGTTCATTCATGTCCCCCTGTCCTCTGTCCTCACCTGTCCACACACCTGTCCTCTCACATCCCGCCACTGTGGAGACGAGTCGGCGCATGCGCAGCAGCTCGGCAGCGTCTACTTCCTGTCAGATCGTGCTCGCTGACGACAGACGCAGCCTGTTTGTGCGGACTCGGCTGGAGAGGCAGAATAACGGCGCTGCTGGCTCCTTCAATGGTAAGACCGGGCCCCGGGAGCCGGGAGGCTCCGCTCTCTGACCCGCTTCCCTGTCGGTCTCCTCCGGGACACGCTCCACACCATGGCTGCCGGCTCCGACTAACGGCTGGAGCGGGAAACTTTCCGTGCCCGGCCAGTACCTGGGTGTAGCCAGTTCCTCCGTTAGCATCGCGTGCAACCCCCGGGCTGTCAGAACCACAGCCGGTGACCGTTTGTTCAAACTCTTATTGTTCTTAAAACCAGAAAACTTGTGGTTCTGACTGCTAGCATGGAGGCTAACGTTGTTGTTGCCCGGTGCTGACTAATAGCTGGTGGTTCGCCGTTTTCCTAGAGGAATGGTTTTATACGAGTGTTGTTCAGATCCCTCTCCTCATGTTGAGTTTACAGTTTGGTTTATTATTATTATTATTATTATTATTAATAATAAACGAGCCGCTCCTCCAGGAAGTAGTCTGATGCAGCGCTGTGCTCGGCGCCGTGTATTTGCTGGAGGCAAACGAGATGTTTACCTGTGCCCGGTACTGAGGTCTACAGACTGCACGGATCTCAGTCCAGGTAGAAATAATCACGAAATACTGGTCTATGGTCTGCAAACATTAGAGGAGACGCATCCCCCCCCACGCCTTTCTTTCTTTACAAACCGTTTTCTGAGCTCTGGTAAGTCTGTCCAGTGTTTTGGTCCAAATGCATGAGGACCACAGAACCGAGCCTCTCCACCTCACCTGTCTGCCACCTCACCTGTCTACCACCTCACCTGTCTGCCACCTCACCTGTCTACCACCTCACCTGTCTACCACCTCACCTGTCTGCCACCTCACCTGTCTGCCACGGGCTTGTTGGGGCTGATGGGTTCCAGAAACCTTCACAAACATTAAAGAGACTTCAGTTCATTACAGCAAACAGCTCAGAAGACCGACTCGAGTCAACCTCATTTCTTACTTTCCTCTACAGTAACCCGTCTGCACTTTCCTCTACAGGAACCCGTCTGCACTTTCCTCT